ATGCGTTACTAGGTAGCAGCACCAGCTAGTCACGGACTATTTAGATGCAATCTTTTAGTTTTAGTAGTAGTAAATGTGTTCCTGAGACTTTGCTGCAAAACATTAGTTTCCCTAAAATTGCTATATTACAATAACCTTGTCCAACTAAATCAGGGTTAAATTCAATATTACATTGTAAACTATATGTCTTTTGATTTTGTGAGATTTCGGTTTCAAATAATGCTATCAGAACATAAAAATTTATAGGAAAACCAGGAAAATTACAACAAAAACTAAGTTTTATTTGATGTTTACTACAAATACCGGGATTTATCTTTCTTATATATTTTCTTATTGTGTTATTATTCAAAATTAGCCTAATTAATAAAATAGTGACAACATGACAGTTAAAATTCAACAACGGGTAATGGAATTAAAAGGCAAACAAAAAAGTTTTACAAAATATGAATTATTGGCCTAGCACTGAAAGGGTTAAAGGAAATAAAATACAAAACAGATTAATTAATTATTTTGATAAACGATAGAAAGGTTATGGGATTGATTGAACTAAAATAACCGCAGGGAAACTCATAAGTAGAAAAGTCGTCAACCACAATCTGTTTAATCAGTACATCGTTAGAGAGAGAGAGAGGGAGAAAGAGAGAGATAGCAGATAGGGGCGTTTGATAGGGAACCTGAAAAAGTAAACAAACAAGGAACAACGACGCGACAATACTCGTTTATAGCCTTATAGTCTCGCCCACTACATTTGCACACATGACCACTTTTTGTTTCTTCCTTATCTTTCATCCGTCCCAAAATGGAATTCCTGAAATAGTTTGCTGGTATAATCTCCCCTCCCACACAAGGCGCAGTGCTCAGTGCGCACTGTAGGTTGTCACGGCAACCGTGTGTCGTCATAGCGACTAGCCAATCACACACTCGCACTGCGTTGTAGATTACGATACGAATAGCTGTGTTAAAAGACAACGCGATAGGTGGTAGTTTATCTCTTTTGTATCTCCTCAAAATTACGATCGATAATCAGATAATCATTGCGCAACGTAGAATTGTGATAACTTTGTTTTCAATAACAACACATATTAAGTGTTTTTATATGGACACAGTTAGTCTTTGACATTGCCTAGCCATATAAATTATTTTATTTAAAAAACCCGCCCTTGAAAAAACAAAAAAAGTATCTGTATTTGGATCCGAAGATCCGGATCCAGATCCGATTTTTTCAAGAACCGGATCCGGATCCGGTACCGACATTTTCTTGGATCCGGCCATCACTAGTCTTTGTTAATGCTGTACACTTTTCCCAAGAGTCTTCGATGGTTTACGGTATCGTAGGCGGCTGTTAAATCTACAAAAGCAACACCCGTGACCTGTTTTCTCTCAAACCCATCCAGGCCGGTCTGGCTCCATTGGAGGCCCTCGGCTAGATGGTGATTTGAGGCCCCCAGTCAGAAATAAAACAAGGACCATGGGGTGCTCTCACGGCAACAATTAGTTAGCATATATGTTTGCCGCATGCCGCAGGTTCATAAAAGGGGCCTAATGTGGTTTTAAATGATTAAAAGTTTTTGATAATTTTTATTAAATTAATAATTGCTAAATTTCCATAAATTAAAATCTTTGTATTTATAAATTTAATTCCAAGGTATCAATCAATTTAAATTTGTTATAAAATTTGCTCGTATTTCTATTTACCTTTACAGCTGCCATAAAATTTAAAGGCCTATTCTTAAAATTGTCTTAAGTCTTCAATTTAAAAATAAGACCAAAACCTAGTTCTTAGAGTTTTTGCCATACATGGTAAAAAAGCAAATCACGTACCACTTTTGAATTTTGAATACATCTATGAATGGACCACATTTACTGTTTATCACACACTTTACTCCATAGTTGTACTTCAGCAACAAAGACAAACAGAAATAATCAAAAGTATTTTAATTTAAACGTTGTAAGGCTTACAAAAAACTTCTGATGATTTCCGCCTGCCTGTTTGCGACTTCTCATTGTTAGCAGAATCGGAACTGAAACCAGCTAACCTGCTAACCATAAGTTCAAGCAGTTTGAATTTAATTTGTTTTTATTTTGAAATATTTCCTTTCCGTTTTTATTTTACTTGCGCCACTTGGGTGCACACGTTTCATTTTATAAACTGAACAATTCACGTGTTAGTAATTTTTCAAACAATACGTCATAACCAACTACGTAGGGATGACTGGAAACAGTCGTCGGTGATTAAACTATAGTCGTAACACCATACTCGACCTTTTGGTGTTGAGATGAGGCTGACTGGTTGAATAAAATCAGTTGTAGATAAACTGACGGACAGGAATTGGAAACAGTTTTTAGTGATGATACATAAAATGTAATTGCATTTATTTTTGTTGTTTAAAAAAATATAAAATTGCCAAGACACTGTGTTTTATATACTGATGATTTAGATTTTAATGCCTGTAGTAAAATCTGTTTTAAAAACCAGGTAACAAACAAATAGGAATATTTGTTATACTGAGTTAGAGACATTAGGCCTACTGAATAATTTAAATCTTGCAGTCATGTAATAACTAAAAATGTTTAATTAATTGTGAATGTTGTAATTCTATTACGTTTTATACCAAAGTAACAAAATATTAATGCAAATTGACAACAAACAATAGGAATCAAGCAGCAAACCTTTAATGTTTAAAGTAAAATTATATTCGATAATTTTCTTTGCAATTACTGAAACCACTGCACCGATTGAACGCCACCAGTTGTTGTTGTAGTGGAATTCTCTCGGTTTTTCATTCGACTGAAAACAAACCACTGGTTTTAAAAACAACTGATTGACAAATTGACTAGTCGATAGTTTTTTCCAGTCGGTTGTCCCATCACTATACAAAGAGCTACGCTCGCTTCGCTCGCTCCGCTCAACTAGTACAAGCGCTAAGCTGTCTGCTTGAGTCCAGACACCAGACATATCGCAGACGCGCCGGCACGGCAATGTCTCGTCACTACCGCAGAGCGCTGGGCACTGAGCTGATTCGAACGGTGCATTGCAGTGAGATCGGTGACTATCCTCTAGTACCGATTGACTATCACTGTACTTAGGGGCTACCCCTTACTGTAATTCAATTAAAAAATTGTCAAAAAATTGAGTATTGTTTATTTAAAATTGTTTTTGCAAGACTACGTTGCTGTGAAACAGTTAAACAAAATATTTTTTTATTATAACTAAATTTTTTGAATTGATTTTTTGGCTTTTGGAGGCCCCCTTGAGCCGGAGGCCCTCGGGGATCGCCGACTAGCCACCCTGGCCAGACCGGGCCTGAACCCATCCTCAATGTGTTGGGTCAGGTTTAAAACTTGGCCACAACAAGACTTGCCTGATCGAAAGCCTGCCTGTTGTGGAATGATCTTTTGTTCCAGAAAATCGCCGATTCGATTGAGTATCAGACGTTCTAAGATTTTATATGTGTTGTGGCATTAGAGAAACAGGTCGATAGTTCTTAGGATCGTTTGGATCTTTCCCAGGTTTGAGCAGTGCAGCCACACGGGCTTTCTCCATGCTTTTGGTACAGTATATGCATTTGGCTTACGCACATGTTCATGAGGCTCAACAACCATTGCATGGCATTTTTACCTAGGTTCTTAAGTTGTTCGACTCTGATCTCGTCAATACCTGGAGCTCTATTCGTCTTTAAGCTGGTAATGACTGCAGTTAGCTCAGACATGGTGAATGGTTCCTCCAGGAAGCGATTCTCACTTGCCACATCACACACATCAGGCTTCCGGTATTTCTTTCCATAGGTTTTGCTATTTAAAAGAAGATTGGTAGCGACCTGATCGACAGTAACTGTTGTAAAGTTGTCTTTTGGTTTTTTCACATCTCCAGTTATGTTCTTGAGGAACTTCCAGGCCCGTCTGCTGTTCACCTGCATATCTAAACTCTCCACAAGATCACACCACTAAGTTTTGCGGTTTTTGGCAATGACTGACATAAGCTCTTCACCTGCTTGAAGTATGTCCTCAGCAAAGGGATCATTGTCAAAGAGACCTTGGTATCGTTCTAGCAGTGGCTTTGCCTCTTCAGAGTCCTGCGATGTAATGGGTTCGACAGCCTCTAGGTACAATTTTTCTCGAAACCTGCTGGACAAGCTTGACGAAGAAGTCGTACATATCAGGTTGTGGAGGGATATTGGTGATTTCTCTGTCAATGATCTCCCTAAAACCCGTCCAGTTGGCCTTTTTGAAATTAAACCTGCGTCTTAGAGGAACAACTTCAGGTTTAACAACAGCACTAACGGTGCATACTAAAGGTCTGGGTTGAGTTCGGGAAATCGGATCACCTCTAGACTTTTCAAAAACTTACATGTTTGAATCATGAACAACCTAACAGTACTTCCACTTGAACCCACACATCATGTTGCCAATTATGATACCCTCTTAGATCTAATTGTCGTGTCCAATCATCAAGATATAATTCACCATGGGCAGCTTCCAGTCCCTTCAATATCTAAACATGACCTCATTTTCTGTGTGTACACAATCAAATCTCCTAAACCCAAAGCATAGCTTATTAAATATCAGGATCTTAAAAATATGAATGTGGCACAATTCATGCTAGATGTTCAATAAACTCCATGACACTTCATTCAAAATTTAAATTCCGTGAATGAAATGGTTCATGAGCTAAAATCTTCCATATTAAATCTCTTTGACAAGCATGCTCTCATCCTAACAAAGTGTGTGACAAAACAAGGACCTGATCCATGGATGACCCCAGAAATTAAAAGTTTGAAGGCTAAACGTGATAGCTTTTAAGGTAGAAGAGCTAGGCTTCAGGGGGACCCAAAACGAATATATCCACTCAAAACTCAAACTAGAAAATTTTGATGAAAACAATACTTTCTCCATATGCTATATAGTAATATAGAGGGAGAAAGAAGGAGAATAATTATCAACTATTCAAATTTGAAAGTTGAAATGAGCTTATGGAGGCTAAGGCCTAGGCTAACACCTACCATATTTGACATCTGGAATTGTCAAACTGCTCTCTGCTATATTGGTGGAGAGAATTACTTTTCTTGTATCTTCAGGAGCATATTGAACCACTTTCTCCTGTTCATCTTTTGTGATCGATGAATGGAGGGGACATAGCATTAAGTTTAATGCGTTCCTAGAAAAAAAGCAATAAATATGTTAGCAGGAAATTAAGACTGGTGAGCAAATGCAATAAGAGTCTCAATGATTCAATCCAAACCAGCCAAAGCAAGATAAAATAGGTAAAAGGTTGGATAGAACGGGAAATAGTAAAACTTATTTTTAAAAGATAAAAACTATTACGAACATGTTAAGACCTTCAGTTAAGTTTTTTTTTTTTTTTCCTATTGAAACCTTTTTTACCAGATTTTTCTGTTTTAACACATCAAAATAAAGTGAACAGCTTCTAACAAAGTAAAACCACAATTTGTTTATTTTTAAGAAATAAATAAGAAGACTCTTGACTCTCAAATGGACTTCATTTGCACTGGAACTAAGATATCAAAGTGGTATGCAAATACGCGGTGACAGCATGTACAGGGTCATCACTTTTTGTGTTGACAATAAACTGCATTAATGTCATCAACGCGACGGTGCTAGTAGTTTCAACTTTACCCAATAGAGACAGCAGAAAAAAACAAAATTAAAAAAAAATTTTTTTTTGTCTTGGAATAAGCAGACTTTTGGATTACCGAAGTTCGGATAAATTGGGACTCCACTGTACCAACAGACCTAGGGACATTAGCCCCTCTACAGTATGTAACCATGGCATTTCTCTGTATTTGTTATGTTTTATTTGTTGATCTTGTGTAAGGTATAAATTAATAATTGAATGAAATCAAAAAGAGCTTAAACATGTGGACTCAGGCTTCCTGAGTACTGGTGGGATTGCCGTTTGGTATCAGGAAGGTTTGTAATTTTTGGAATGGGTTGGAAAAATAACTTTAACTACACATTTACAAAGGTTTTTTGGTCTAAACGCTGAAAATGTTATCATAAAACAGCAATAACTTTCATAATAGCAATGTACAGTGAAGTTTTTTTATATATGAAAACTATATACAGGGTGATTGAAAAGTCTGGGTACGGCTTAATATTTTGAAAAATAATAAACGTAGACCTACAAAACTTGGAATCAAGTAACAAGGCATATACATCTATCTTAACACATATCCAGTGATCCGCTACCTCCTCAGGGGGACGGCCCACCAGGAGTCAGGAGAAAATCTTAAATGTAAGCATAGGTTGATATGCACATCAAATTAAAGGTCTATCTTTGTAGAATACAACGCAGCAAACCGCACTGGGTACGGCTTAATATTTTGAAAAATAATAAACGTAGACCTACAAAACTTGGAATCAAGTAACAAGGCATATACATCTATCTTAACACATATCCAGTGATCCGCTACCTCCTCAGGGGGACAGCCCACCAGGAGTCAGGAGAAAATCTTAAATGTAAGCATAGGTTGATATGCACATCAAATTAAAGGTCTATCTTTGTAGAATACAACGCAGCAAACCGCACTCAAAAAGGTTGACCCAGTACAAAATGGCAGCTGTTCAAAGATTCAAATAAATACCAATTTCTTTGAATACAAACCATTTTTATTAAATCTTTAAACAACCGTAATTTTTTAACGGATGGTCCTTTTTATTAAAAATCTCTTTAAAATGATATACATATCAACCTATGCTTACCTTAACAACTAGGGTGTTCGAAAAGTCTGTGTACGGCTTAATTTCTGCCATTTCTTACTGGATCGTCGTATTTAGATGTGGTAGGCGGCGTTTTACTCTACCAGCTAATGTTTTTACTGACTTTTGTAACTAGAAAATTATTTTATTAAATGTTATAACACAATAAAAAATGAATTTGTTGTCTTTATCAATAATAATAATTTACTAGTTACGCACTTGCAATGTTATTTTATTCACTAATTTTAAAATTACTATCTTAGAACAAAGTAATTACTCGCTAATGATTAGCAACTAACCTTTTTATTTACAATAAATGTTCAAATTGTTCTCCCATTGCAGTTTGACAGTGAGCTAGCCGGTTGTAGTAGCCATCCATAACATTGCGGAGCATTTCAGGAGGTATTTCCGCCGCTTCATGTAATATTCTTTGTTTTAAGTCATTTATGTTATTAGGCTTGGTTTGGTAAACTTTATCTTTTAAATATCCCCAAAAGAAATAATCTAAAGGCGACAGGTCTGGTGATCTAGCAGGCCATTCTATTCTTCCTCTCCGACCTATCCATTGTTCTCTAAATGTTTCATCCAAAAGATTACGTACATTTACCGCATAATGAGGGGGCGCTCCATCTTGTTGGAACCAAATAGAATTAAATTGTAATCCTAAATATTGGATAGCTGAAATGATTCTGTCAATTAACAAATTGCGGTATGTATCACCATTTAGATTTCCATTGATAAAAAAAGGACCTATTACATTGGATCCTATTAGGCCTGACCAAACATTCACTTTTTGTGGATGTTGGGTGTAGGCTTCTCTCTTCCAGTGAGGGTTTGTATCTGACCAGTGACCAGTACAACCAGTTATGTCGGTTGACATTTCCATTTAACAAAAAGCTTGCTTCATCTGAAAAAATAATGTTTTTAACAAAATTCTGGTCTGTATCTAACCTTTGCATCATTGTATCGCAGTATTCCATACGTCTATCAAAATCGTCCTCGGATAGTTCTTGTACAAGATGTATCTTGTAAGGGTGGTATTTATTAGAATTTAAAATTTTCCATACAGAATATGAACTAATGTTATACTCAGTACCAAGATTCCTAAGAGTCGAATGTGGCTCTTCCATGACTGTTACAAGCACGTCGGTAGCCACATCTTCGTTAGTCGCTGTTTTAGGTCTGCCACTGCGAGGAAGATCTTTTACAGTTCCATGTTCTTCGAAACGGTGGATGGTGGTGACAACACCATTTTTTTAAATAGGTGGTCGATTCGGAAATCGTTCATTAAATAAATCTGCCACGGCTTGATAAGAGCGCTTGAGATCACCATATCCACTCATAATGAGAATATTAATTCTGTCAATTTCTGATATTTCCATTCCTCTTTCGGTACTAACTTGAAATTAAACAATGTTAAACTAGAAACAAATAACACTGTACTCACACTCACATACAATATAAAAGAACTGAGAACTGATAATGGGATTTTCCGTAACATAAGGGCTGTTGGACTTTGTCTGTTGTTGATAACAACTTGAAATAAAGGAGGGAAAACCCAGGTCATTTTGTCTAGCATTAGACAGTGACAACATTCATGAATGGAAATTTTTCAAACTAGTTAACAGTAAACATCCAAGTTCCTCTTAAATAAATTAGTTTAAACACTTAAAATTATTTAAGTGGATAATTTCAACACTTAAATTCTACCATTGTTTTTGTTGGTGAGATTAGTTAACTTATCACTTCGTTTTAGAATTAAATTTTTTTTACTTTTTTATACCAGTCAGAAATGGCAGCGCATAATGTACTTCAATTCACAATGTGTACCTAAAACAACCCGCCATTTCTGTTTGGATACATGTATTTTGAGATGCAGTTTGCGGCATTCAACTCTACTAACTGAGCTCTTAGAAGTAAGGTATCACTCGACCCGTGCTTACATTTAAGATTTCTATGACTTCCTCTGTGGGCCGTCCCCCCATGGTTGGCATGTCATGGCAATAGCAAGGAAAAAGTTTACATCACCATATGACACTGTGCAAAGTTTAATGTTTTCTGCTACGGTTTGTAAAATTTATAAAAGCCGTACCCAAACTTTTCGAACACCCTAGTTTTTAAGGTAAGCATAGGTTGATATGCATATCATTTTAAAGAGCTTTTTAAGCAAAGAAGAATGCCGCAAACCGCATTTAAAAAGGACCATCCGTTAAAAAATTACGGTTGTTTAAAGATTTAATAAAAATTGTTTGTATTCAAAGAAATTGGTATTTATTTGAATCTTTGAACAGCTGCCATTTTGTACTGGGTCCCTGAGGAGGTAGCGGATCACTGGATATGTGTTAAGATAGATTTATATGCCTTGTTACTTGATTCCAAGTTTTGTAGGTCTACGTTTATTATTTTTCAAAATATACCCAGACTTTTCAATCACCCTGTATAAAACATACTCCCAAGTGTTGGTTAGTCTATGATAAAAAGATTGCCTATTGGACAGTAGTCAAAGAAAAAACACTGTCGAGTGCCGACTACCGTGAGAGTGGAATGGAAGTGAGTTGCAGTTCAGCACAATGTAGTCTGTTGTTGGCAACCAGCGGCGATGGCGGCGGCTTCCCACGTATTCTCATTTCTCATCTTACTCACGTAATTTTACTCATTTAATGAAAAAAAAAGATGCGTGGCTTAATTTTACAAAATTTTTTCAAAGTCCATATTGATAGCATATTTTTTTAATATTTAGAACTGTGTTATGGTGCCTGTATGGTAAACAAGAGACAATGATGTTTACGCCACACTACATTATTTTGACGAACTTCCCACGCAAGGATTTAGTCCAGAAAACAGCTGTTTGCCGCCAGCTTATTCAAATGGAGTTTCATTGCGTACTACTGTACTGTAATGAGTTTTACCGGACACCAATCAGCTGATTATACTGTATTTGGGTGACAATGAGTGGTTATAAACAAAAACATAACCTCTCTTAAAGGTAATGACTAGTGATTTTTAGTCCTTTAGTTGGTGGTAATATGCAAGGAGTTGTACATATTTAATAGTATGGCGTAAACTATCGTACGTAACTCGTCCAAAATGTGTTAATCAGACTCGTATGGCAATCCCGTACTCGACTTTGCCTCGCACGACCACACTCGTCCGGTAAACAATTATTTTCAGGACTAGTAACGTAGTATACTATTGTGTAAGAAGAATCCTTTAAAACCTTTTTTACAACACACTTTAAATTTCTTTTAGCGAATTTCCCATATAGGGAATAAGCTATTACCGTAGTACTCATGGTAAGACCTCGACCCGGGACCGATTTACTTTTTTGTTTTGAGGTCCCTAGAGGCCAAAAACACCAGCCGTTCAAATTCTTATATATATATATAATATATATATATATATAATATATATATACAGGGTGACAAAAAAGTCTGGAAA